AAAAAAAAAAAAAAAAAAAAATGCTCTTCCCCATGTTGGTCTTTGCTTCTCCCCAACATGCAAGATGCTCCCAAGCCTGCCCTCAAGTTATTGTACGCAGTTTAGCTCTCATCAGGCTTGTCCTTTCCAGCATTTCATAAAGTACCCTTCTCCTTTGCATAGGTTTCTCATGGCCACAGGGTGGCAGCACTGCCCACAAGTTGCCTGGCTTTGGTCTTGCAGGCCACAAGCTATGGAGACAACAGCAGGCATAGTCTTTCTGTGTAGGAGAGGAGTGACTGGGGATAATGCTCCATTGCAAACAGGGCAATGGAGAAGCATAGGTGGAGGGTACAAGTCCTGATACTGTGACCTGGCTATTAAATACCTATGCCCCAGGAGACAGCTTCTTTTCCTTTTTGTCTCTGGTTAGTGGAAGGAATGACTGGAGTGGGAGCTCCCTTCAGGCCGGAACAGGAGGCTAGTGTCCTGTGGAAGTGAGCAGGGTGAGGTTTGGAAAGCAGATGGACTTTTTTAGGTCAGAAGGAGTTCTAAACCCAGAGCAGCTGAGAGGCTCTTTAGGAGGTTGGCTGGTTGGTCCAGCTTGCCAGGATGCTGGGACCATGGGCTTTGTCAGTTCCAGGTGGGCAGAGAAAGGGTGCAGTGATGGGCTAACCTAGGATAAGTCCCTAAGGCCCCACAATGGTGACAGGAGTTCAGGGATGCTGTTGTTCAGCATCAGGCCCAGAGGCACACCGCAGCTCGTTCATTCTTGCAGGACATTGAGCAAGTAAAGCTGTTTCACTTCTACTCCCTGACAGACCAGTCAGTCCTCTGTTACACATCCAGAAATTAAACTTTTATTTTTAAGCTGCAGGTACACAGTGGAAGAAAACACCCAAGTGTCTCTCCCCAACACCTACACACAGCACCTATAGAGCCAACCCCAGTCACTCAAATTCCCCTACCCTCACCCAACACTTTATGTCTAGGGAGGCAGAAGAGTCTTTCCCAGGCTCCAAGCTAAGCTTCTCAAGGCTTGTTTGATCTGTATGGGTGGCTAAGAAGAACTGGGTTTCTCTCTCTCAGGGGTCCTCCAAGGACAGTCAGAGACAAAGTGCTGGCTGCCACGTATACAGGAGTCCTTTCCCAAGCCAGAACTCCAGTGATAGCCGCTGGGGATGGAACTTTCATGTGCAGAGGTACAAGGAGCTTGGCCCCAGGTGAAAAGGGGGAAGAGCCTCTTTTCTGTCCTGCGGCACAGATCTAGACAGCAGCATCTTAACTGGAAGTCTGCATTCTCAGCAGTTTGTTTGCTGCACAGTATTCAGGGACACTCAAGCAGCAGTGTCAAACACAGCCACTCCTGGGGGAAGGACTCTCTGAACAGGTCAGAGATCTCCAACCTTTCCCCTGCCTCAGTGACATGACCTCCTTGCATTGCTGGGGCATGGACATTATGCTGCTGCAGAATCTCAGAAGAGGAACTGAGCACTATGAGACCTGTCGTGCTGGGCTGCAGAGGCATGCACCTGGCTTAAGCCAGCTGCCCTGGCTAAGTCCCGCCCCAGTGCTGCACACCTCTCTGCTGCCTGTTCTGGGGATGGACAATGGGCAACTGATACTGGATTTCCCCATTGGAAGAGCTAGACATGTGACCACCAATGGACACTCACCCAGCCCATGGGAGCATGGGGTCAGGATCCTGCCAATGCACCCAGGAGGCCTCTTCTCTAGTCCTAGAGGAGGCTGCTGTCCCAGCGGTCCTTGTGCAGCAGTCTCTGGAGCTCTTGCTGATCCATCCCCAGCTCAGTTTCTCCCTGTTGGAATTCTTCACCTCCTGTGGCAACAGAAACACCAGTCAGGAACTGCATCAGTACCTTGGGTCATCAGCCTACTTGCTGTACTCCCTAAGATAGCCTGCCTCCTGTCACCAAATCTCTCCCACATGCTGCTGACTGGTGCTTCTCTTAAGACTTCCCTGCTTAGTTTTACCTGCCTTGACCTGAGACCACGCTCATGTGTAGCAGGCTCCTTTCCCTGCATAAGCTCTGCAGGGCCACCTCCAGCTGTTCTTGGGATTCTCTCCCCCCTCAATTCTGGTTTTGTGCTCATGTCTGCTCCACAGTTGCCAAGTGCCACACCAGAACTAGCTGCATTTCTATGTCACAGAAATGATCCTTGAAGTTTCCTGGCCGGGGACATCAAGCTCCCCATGTACATGTGTAAGTATTAGACAATGTGCTACCCTGACACCTAAGGACAGCTTCATTACATCTAGACCAGCAGTGCTTGGCGGCCACAGCCAAGAGCAGAGCCCTGTCAGTTGCTGGCTGCACAGCCACTTAGCAGAGGGCAGTCCCTACACCAGCACATTTGCAGTCTAGATGAAC